TGAGTGTCCACTTCCAAAGCAAAAATCTCCCTGCCTTGTTCACATTTACCAACTGTAAGATGATCAAACCCACTAATGGGGTTATTTGCTCATGTCAGCTCTTGTCACTGTGCCAAAGGCAGGTAGACCCACCCTCTCTGCGCTGTTAGACTGCTGCACATTCAATGCTAGTACATTTACTTGTATGGTGAATTCCAATCTAACTTTTTTTTTCTTCATAGATTTAAATCTGTCCATTGTCTGCTCTATCCTGACACTATTTGGTGCCCTGCTAAGAAGATGTCATAATCCTAGACCAGTCATTGACACCTGTATCTTACCTAGTTTGCATAAGACAGGAGCTGTGGTGGACTTCTTTGTGGTGTAGGGTTTTTTTTTTTTTTTCCCTCTTCTGGGAGACAACCAGAGACATCTTCAAAGGAGGTAGACAGACTCTACTTACAAAAGCAAGAAGGTGTGGCTTGTTCAGCTGCAGCCTGGGACATTCCAAGAAGAATCCTTGTGCTTTTGTCCAGTGGCTCTTCGTATAATGGCTACATCGCGTGTGTATGAGTCACTTGACACTTCTGTCTGATGTCACATGAATCTGTGCTTGGACACGTCCTAGGCAAATGCGGTACTTGGAATGATAGCATTCTTACTACTGTTAGGGGCTTTTAGAGGCCACTGTCTTGAAACTGGAGTGCTATAGCAGACTGTAGTCCCCATGGTGACTAGACAGGGGAAGTTTTCACTGTCTTTCTTGGGAATCATAATTATTTAAGAGCTTCTGTGGCCTGCCGTATTAAAACTCCACCTGTGGGCCAGAACAGGGTCTGTTTGTAAACACCAGAAATCCTGGAATCACTAGGGTAAACAAGGCTGAAAGCCTTGGGAAAGTCATGGGAAAACCCTGTGTAAGGGTAAGCTTGCTCAGGACTGGATAAGAGTTGCTTACAGTGCACGTTCTCCCCTGCAGTCCGTGTACCTCCCATGGAGGTGATTGTCAGACTTGCCTCTCTCACCAGCTGAATTGCAGTGGTGGTTGATTATGATGGTGGTCTGCCAGGTCCAAGACTATTCCCTTGATGTTTGATACTGGAGAAATATTTGCCAGACTAGATGGTAATCACTTCTGCTTTGCCCACAAGCAGGCTGTGTGAGCTAGAGCATGCTCCCTGGCAGCTGAAACACGCCCTGTTTCTGAAACTGTGCTGTATCTCCTGCTGGCTGTGCGGGGGGCGGAACGCGAGATAGCTGGAATGCCCCAAGGAAGTTTTTGATGGTATCATTTGAGGACCTTTAATTGTATGACTGTGGTTGTCTGAAGAAGCTGGAGTAATCTTTTGATTACCTTAAGCTCTAGATCAGTGTTTATTTCTACTCTACTTCTTAATGTTTCAATAAATAGTTTATGCAATCACTGAGACTGTGCACTCACACAGAGGCAGAAGTTCAATGCTGTAGCAGTGTTATCTGCTGCTGTTTAAATAAAGTAAGCTTAGTTTTGCAAGTGGAAGAAGTGGGGCTCTGTATGTTTACTCTTCTGTTAGCCCAAACTTTGGCCTCATGCAATCCCTACCTTACGTGAAGAACAGCATAAAAAATGACTTTGCAAACCCACTCTTTACAAACTCTTCAGAAAATACTTGCTGGTTTAGTGCTAGAGTCCGAGGCTGAATTAAGGGGAGAATAATAGAATGGCATTGTATAACCTGGAACTATCATTAACAGCTAGGATGTGGACCTACCAAAAATTCCGGACTTCTCAACAGTTGTGCTGAGCTTGTACTGTGGACTTCAGCTTGTTGCTTAACTTCCTGCCCTCTGTAAGGTGGTACAATGTAGGCAAGCGCCTGCAGTGTATTCAAGCATGAAACTTAGCAGAGGCATCGGCCTCCTGAAACACAGTCCCTACACTCTGTTTTTAACACAAACCTTTCAGGATTTACCTGGGTACGTTGTCCTCTCTGCATAATTTTAGTTACTCCACTGAGGAGCAGACAAGGTGACTGCTACTTGCTACAGTCCTGCAGCTCATTCTTAAATGTCTCCTCTCCTTTGTGCCTACTAAGGTGACCATGAGGTATGGGCATAAGAATGCTGCAGGGAATCGGATCAAAGTCCAGCTAGCACAGTGGCTGTTCCATAACAGGTACACCTGCAACACTGGCAGCCTGTCACAGAACACAGAGGAGGGCTTGTGGTGTGGTATGTTCTACCTCTTTACTAGGTCTTCTGCTCGCTGGGACAGAGGCGTCCTATGGTTTAATGGTTTGTCATTAATAGCTCTGGAGATTCCTGGTATCTATATAAATACTTTTTTTTTTTTTTTAAATGCTTGTTAGGTTCTTGTTTTCAACCTCCTGTAGCAGAAAGCTGTGAAGCTTCATGAGCTCTTGATGAGATTTTTTTGTATTCAAACCCTGATTCTGAATGCTTCTGTTAGAGCTTTCTTCCTCTTCCACTGGTAGCAGCCTCTTGTGAGATACCGCAGACAGCATTGACTGGGTAGTGTTTATGTGGCAAACTGCAGTTCAGAATGACACCACTTGATATGGATGGCAGCAAAAATGAGTAGTAGAAGTTTCACACTGTAGTCACCGGTCACCCTAAACTGGGTGGGCCAAAGAGGCAGCGTTCTCTAAGCTGGGAGGGTGTGTGTTAACTGAAAACGGACCGCATTCTCCTGCATGGCAATACAGAACTGTTCCATGTGTTCAAGCTTCTTCTAAGGTTTCTTGTATTGACAATACTGTAGGCTGTGCGGATATAGCAGGATGCAGCTTTTTAATCAAACTACTGTCTCATACATAAACTGATTCTACAAAATAAATATTTAAATATGTCAAAGGCTGTGTTTTGTCATGTTTCTTGACACATTCCCTACATCAAAAATAGACCATAAACCCTGTAATCCAGGAAACTACAGCCTCTTGTCAGGCGTTTGTGACGCCAAATGGCCAAAGTGCATGTGAGTTGGATGACTTGGATGTGCAGAGGAACAAATATGGATGAGAAGAATCCTTGCAGATGACTATTAACAGAGTAAAGTAAAAGAATTGAGCTAGGGAGTACGTTAATTGTTGTAAACTTGTCTCAGTGCTTTCCTGTTTCTGTACTTACTAAATATGTCACAGGAGCTCTTAAATTTAAGAGTCCCCAGCAATGTCTGAACAGGGTAGTACCACAATTACTCCTGTTAATAGGGTGTGTAATTGTCTGTGCTGCTCTGCTGTAGCACAATGCCAGCTCTGTGAATCAGGAGTTGGAGCTGCTGTGCCGGCTAGTGGAAGTAAACCGTGGTGCAGTAGCTTGTCTGCGACCTCTTGGCTCTCTCTACCCTGTCCTTTCGTTGTACCTTCCAGCATGTTGCTGTTGTCACACGAGTGCTGCATGAGAAATCCCGCATGCCTAGGTCCTCGGGCAAGCAGAGCCCACGTACTTGCAGCTGATTTTCTAAGCAAGGACTAAGGCTGCCTACAGGCTTCTGTGGGCAGAGGAGGCAGCTCTTTTCATCACCTGCTAAAAAGCCGTTTTTCCTGTGGTCGCTCGCTATGACACTGCAGTAAGTCTCGAGAGTCAAGAAAATTCATCTCTGCGTGCCCGTCTCTTGCTGGGCGAGCCCAGAAACGGCTTCTTGCTGCATCCCCTCGGGGAGCCGGGCCCTGCAGCACGGCGGGGCTGCCTTCCTTGCAGGTGCCCTGGTTGA